TTTTTGACAGAGTCTTGCTCCAGCCCAGGCTGGAGTGCAATGGCATGATCCTGGCTCACTGCAACCTTCGCCTCCCAGGTTCAAGTGATTCTCTTGCCTCAGCTTCCCGAGTAGCTGAGCTTACAGGCACGCACCACCACACCTGGCTAATTTTTTTGTATTTCTAGTAGAGACGCAGCTTCACCACGTTGGCCAGGCTGGTCTCAAATTCCTGACCTCAGGAGATCCACCTACCTTGGCCTCCCAAAGTGTTGGGATTACAGGGGTGAGCCACCATGCCCAGCCTGCTTTTCATGTTTTTCTTGAGAAATTTCTATGCTGTTTTTTATGGTGAGTGTACTTATTTACCTTTCTGCCAACGGTGTCTAAGACCTTCCTTTTTTCTGCCTCATCATCTGGATTTGTTAGGTTTTGGGGGTGTTTTCTTTTGTCTGTTAAACAGTGTCTCCTCTAACTGGGGTAAGATGATATCTCATTGTGGTTTTGATTTGTATTTTTCTGACCACTTGTGATGTTGAGCATTTTCTTCATACAACTGTTGGTTGACCATTCCCATGTCTTTTTTTGGGAAATGTCATTTGCCTACTTTCTAATGGGATTATATTGGGGGCATGTGTGTGTGTGTGTGTGTGTGTGTGTGTGTGTGTGTGTGCGCATGTGTTAGCTTACTGCCGACATGTTTGAGTTGCTTGCCTATTCTGGATGTGTGAAATGAATCTTGAGAGATCCAGCTAGTTAGACCACCCTGGCAGTGAGGGTGGAAATGTGGAGTTAAAGGAATCAGTGGGTGAAACACAACAGCCAAGCTGACCAAAGGGCTTTTGGCGGTTGGGTGTCAGGATAGAGTTCTAGCTGATGGTCTCAATCTCATCTCAAAATAGCAAGAAACATACAGAGAATGCCCCTATATTCTGTGCCCAGATTTGATCTCCAATATTTTCCTGTTTTCTCTTTCCCACAGATCAGCTCTGCTCTTCATCCTTTTGTTCATTTCTGTATACATCTTATTGTGAGTCTTATGGCTTCCCCCAAAGGAAATGGCAGAGCTCTGTCTACTTCACCCTACAGTTTCTGTGCATATATTTTCATATATGTTCTCTACACTAACATTTGGCTGTACATTTGTTCTTATCCCACTGCAATCGTGCCTCTCTAATTTTGATTTCACAGAGCATGCACCATTCCCCTTCTTTTCTTGCCAGCCTATGCCTCTTCCAGCATGATCCTTCTGTTTATAAACGGTGTTCATCGCTAGTCTGATCTGCGTTCTCAGTCCTTTTGAGCTCTACTTAAAGTGGTAGTAGGCAGTTACTTTGCCATTCAAATAGCTGAGCCAGTGTTCAGTTCATGGATTACTGCAGTGACACCCGTTTTAGGTCCTGCAACTACCATGTCTCGCTTTTTTTTTTTTTTTTTTTTTTCAAATAATTATCTATGAGGACCTCTTAAGAAAGATTAAGGGAAAAAAAGGTCTTCCGACTCTGTGGATCCAGGGCCTCTTCAATGTCTCTCAAAGTTTCTAGCAAATCTCGCCACTGGAACTTTTAACAGAAATGTTTGAATTATTCCAATAAGTATACTGGAGACATAGAAGTCTTCCACCTGGGGTTACTTGACCACCGAGCCAGAGAATAACATCCTATTATTTTCCCTTTTATAAAGCTCATTTTGACCTGGTCTTTTACATAGAGTCAACTAAATTGTTGCTATTTGAAAGACTAACTGTATTGACTTACAATATTGGGTGTGACACTGTTTTCTGAGCCTAAGTGAGATGTATGGGTGGTCTGGTTTCTATAATAGAAACCTCTGAACATGTCATGGAAGCTACTGGTGGAAATATTAGAGGGTTTGGTAAAAATTGTCCAGACTGTAGAAAACTTCAAAAAGTTAACAGCTTTGCAAATGCCAAAGGACTAGTGGGAATTACATTCATTACTACAATTGATTTTCTTGAGTCAAAATAACTGATAGATCTGGTGCATGTTTCAGTGTAAAACTTAAATATAATCGAACTAATCATAAATTTGTGATTCCCTATGAAAAGCCATGACCCATCAGGGATACTTTTGATTGTTTGGAGTGGGGAATGCTTATTTGTTCAACTTGCTCAATCTCTTGGGTCCCAGATGTCTTTGTACCTTCCTATGGGATATTTAGTACTTTCCCATGGGATATTTAAGCTTGAAAATCATATTCAGGGAGAGCTTCAGAGCTCACTTCCAAACTTAACTTACCTCTTTGAACAAACACTTAGCATGTAGGTTTGAAATTCAGAAAGAAGTGATGTAAAGGGGCTTCAAAAAAACTTTACCGATTTAAGGACATCAAGCTGACTTCCTAAGTGTGTATCTCTAGTTCAAATCAGCAATGAGCTATTCTCCCAACACTCACCACACCCCCTCTCCATTCCCCATTTCCTCAAGCCAATAGTAAATTTGATTTTACTGGTGTCTGGGTCTCGACTTTGGGAATCAGTTGCTTTCTGCTGCTGCTAAGAAACTGGGGAGGAAGCAAGCAAGGATCTGAATGTCACACGGCAGGGATGGTTTCATGTTATAGGTTTTAGAATTACCCATCTCAGACCTAGACTTGCAATCAAATAGTGGTGAACCAGAAATCTAGGTAGCAAAAGCATCCTGTGTTTACCTAAATATCTATAAATGTGATCTGCAAGAATAGCACACTCAGGTCAGTCTCTGTGGCGCAATCGGTTAGCGCGTTCGGCTGTTAACCGAAAGGTTGGTGGTTCAAGCCCACCCAGGGACGGTTAGCACTTTTTTATTCCAATTCCGTCGTTACTATTTTTCTCCATTCTTCTTTTCAGATCCAGAAGTTCTACTTCTAACCTAAAATCCTACACAATGGTTGCTTTGTAAAACACGTTTCCTAACATCTGCCACCCCAGAGTTTAGAGGTCCTCTAGTGCCGAACTAGAGGATCCTGTAATTTTCCCTCCAGAAACAAATCCTTTGAGAGCTGCTTTCCTGCAGAACCTCGCAGCAGGCAGGACTTTGCTGGTACTAAGGAAAACAAGTATGGCTCTCTCGCTCAATGCTAAAGAGCTGGAGAAACCCAATGACCTCTCCAAGTTTAAAGAGTGCAGGGGCAGCAAAACTCCACCTCCATTCTCTTAGGGTCCCGACTGCACCTGAGAATTACATTAACAGAATATAGATCGAATTTCTTTAATACAAGTTTTATGTGGCACAGAAGCACTTATGAGGAAATGGAGAAGAAGCAGTTAGAGTTAGTAATTTATATATTGAATTGGATGAAGAGCCGTAAGTTGTGAAGAAGCAACTAAATTACGTGGAAAGGCTTTAAAAATAAGAGGTTTTTGGTTTTTTTTTTTTTACAAGATATCTACAGAAAAGTGCCTTTAATAAACATTTAAATAAGTTAAAAACTTAAATAGTTTTTGATGGTATCTGATTCAAATTATGGGCCTGGAGGAAATAAGAGGTGATAGAAGTGGGTCTTGAGATAAGTTGGCATTTTCTTGCCATGTAACTGTCTCAGATGTTATCATAAAGGATCTTCAAACAAGAGAATTTCAACTTGTTCACATAGGAAGAAAGCCGACTCTTTTCCTAGTAAGGGAGGCTCAGTGAGATTTGTGGGTTCAAAGCACTCAGGTTCACAACAATCTGCTCAACTGTCTCATTTCCATTCCTACTGTTGATGAATGCACCAACTGTCACAGAAGAGGCATACCCAGACTATGAATTTAACTTGCGTTTTAGTTTTTTAACCTGCAGGATCAAATTTGAAGTTCATATCTTGGCTATTCAAGATATACACACACACACACATCCTATTTTTACTGTTTTGTCGGTAACTATGGAACTCTTACTGGATAGAAAGTGGTATACAGATCATGGGAATGTGAATAGTTACAACCACTTTAGAAGCTATTTAGATGGACATACCTGCCACAGCTGATGTATGTGTGCATGTTTCGGTAATTTTTTCTGAGGTATATACCTAAGAGAAAACTATGTAACTATATAGATATAGAGGTAGAGATAAATAGGCAGATAGTCTCCAAAATTGTTCAAGAAACCATTCTTTAAATTTTTATTTAATATATCATAAACTGTACATATTTAAAGTATACAAAATGGTGTTTTGACATATGTATATACTAGTGAATCCAACACTGTCATTAAGATAGTGAGCATAGCCGGGCGCGGTGGCTCATGCCTGTAATCCCAGCATTTTGGGAGGCCGAGGTGGGGGGATCACGAGGTCAGGAGATCGAGACCATCCTGGCTAACACGGTGAAACCCCGTCTCTACTAAAAATACAAAAAATTAGCCAGGCGTGGTGGCAGGCGCCTGTAGCCCCAGTTACTCCGGAGGCTGAGGCAGGAGAATGGCGTGAACCCGGGGGCGGAGCTTGCAGTGAGGGGAGATCCAGCCTGGGCGACAGAGCGAGACTCCGTCTCAAAAAAAAGAAAAGAAAAGATAGTGAGCATATAGGCTGGGTGCGGTGGCCCAAGCCTGTAATCCCAGCACTTTGGGAGGCCAAGGCGAGTGGATCACCTGAGGTCAGGAGTTCGAGATCAGCCTGACCAACATAGAGGAACCCCATATCTACTAAAAATACAAAAATCAGCCGGGCATGGTGGCACATACTTGTAATCCCAGCTGCTTGGGAGGCTGAGGCAGGAAAATCACTTTAACGCAGGAGGCGGAGGTTGCAGTAAGCTGAGATTGCACCATTGCACTCCAGCCTGGGCAACAAGAGTGAAACTCTGTCTCAGAAAAAATAATAATTAAAAAGAAAAGACAGTGAGCATCTCCATCATCCCCAAGCAGTTTCCCTATAGCCTTTTGTAATTCCACAATTCCACCTTCATGTTCCTTACCACCTCACACCCCCTCTTACCCACCCATCCCCAAGCCAACCACTGATCTGCTTTTTGTCAGTATAAATAAGTTGTCATTGCCTAGAGTTTTACGTAAATGAAATCATACAGCACGTCCTCTTTTTTGTTTGGTATGATCTCTCAGTCCTTTCAGGTGCTATAACAAAATGCCATAGACTGGGTGGCTTATAAGCAACAGAAATTTATTTCTCATGGTTCTGGAGGTTGGGAGGTCCAAGATCAAGGTGCTTGCACATTTGGTTTCTGGTGAGGGCCTGTTTTCTCACAGAAAGCAGTCTTTTAGGAAGTCTCACATGGTGAGGGTCTCTTTTATAAAGACACTAATCATATTCATGAAGGCTCCACCTTCATGACCTAATTACCTCCCCAAAGCCCCATCTTGTAATATCATAACCTTGGGAGTTAGAATTTTAACATATGAATTTGGGATGTGTGTGCAAACATTCAGTCCATTGCAAATAGTCTGTCTCTTTAATTTTAGACATTCTAATTTATGTGTAGTGGTACCTTTACACCCACTAAGATGGCTATAATTTTTAAAACGACAGAAAATATAAAGCATAAGCAGAAATGTGGAGAAAAATGAAATCATCATAAACAAATTCAGTGGTATTAAGTACGTTCACAGGATTGTGCAACCACCATCTCAATCTAGTTCCAAAACATTTTCATCATAAGAAAGTAAAACCCCATATCATTAGGTGATTACTCCACATTCCCCAGCCCCTGGCAGCCATTACTCTGTTTTCTGTTCCTACATATTTACTTATGCTGGTGGGAATATAAGTGACTTAGTAATTCCACTACTAAATAGATAACCCCCAAAAGTAAAAAACAGATACTCAAACAAATGCTTGTACATAAATGTTCATAGCAGCAATATACACAACAGCCAAAAGGTGGAAACAACCCAAATGCCCATCAACAGACTAATGGATAAAGGAAATGTGGTATATACATAAAATATTATTTGGCCATAAGAAGAAATGAAGTCCTAGCACGTACTATGACATGAATGAACCCAAAACTATGCCAAGTGAGAGAAGCTGGACAAAATGTGACACATTATGTGATTTCATTTCTGTGAAGTACATAGAATAGGTAAATCCATTTCAGGTTCCAGGAAACAGAGCATGGCCTGAAAGATGGGTGCAGCTCCAGGTAGGCAGGTCTCCCAGGCTCTGAATGCTCCTTCCTCTTCATGGGGAGGGGCATATTTAGAGATCAGGAATAGGATCCTTTGGGGGAGGGGAGCAAAAGAGACACATGTTTTTCTCAATCAACCGTGGAGAAACTATGTAAGTGAAGGACATGCTGATTTTAGGAAGCAAGAAGGAGGGCGGGAGGGAGGGAGGAAGGGAGATGAGAAACTCTCGTGTCAGAGGGAGTGCGTGAGAAAAATGATTTGGGAAATATTTTTCTCTTCCCCAGATTGACTTGTGACAATCTTTCTTCCAACGTTTCTGCCCCTAAAGCCTTCTGCCACCCTCTGGCCCAGGCAGCAGTCACTGCATCCAGTACTATACACATTACTGCAAAATATTCTTAAGACATTCCTGTAGCTTTCTAACATGTGCCTGAGGTGGTTGAGGCGTCTGTCCTAAGATCTTTTCCCAGAAGGTGTTGCCCACATTCTGTGACTGTCCCTCCCTGGTGGTCTAGTGGCTAGGATTCGGCGTTTTCACTGCCGCGGCCCGGGTTCGATTCCCGGTCAGGGAAGTCTGCTTTTCTGCTTTCTGATGTCACTGCAGTGGTTTCCACCAAAGCCGTATTCAGTGATCTTCAGTTCAAGGCGGTGAACACTGCCTGTGCCTTTCAACCTCTCCCAGATGATCCTGAAGTCACAGAACCGCGGGGCAAGGTCATTAGGGAGCCCTTGACAAGTAAGAAGGTTGACAAGTTACTGTTGTCAAGTAACTTCTCATTGTAAGAGGTTGACTTTCATCTATTCGTCTTATGGGTAAAGTTAACTAACTTATTACCATATAAAAATATGTTTCTATTTTTACAAAAGACCAAACGAATTAAGAGAGGTTTTCCATGTTTCAAATATGCAAATTAGTATAATGGACTAGTTTGTTTTCCGATTTGGAACACCTGTTACCAGAGGAAACAGCAGCGCATCTGGTAAAATAACCTGGGCATTCTACATCTCTGAAATGTAAACAAACCGCCCTTAGGGTTTAAATGAGAACTCGGCAGGAGGTGGGGGAGGGAGAATTACATTTATTCTTAAAACTGTGCCTATGCCAATTCATCAAACCTTTCTAGATTTAGAAGTCATTTGAAATAACTCACTTGTTTCACGTAAAAATTACTTATCTTGATTTTTAAAAATCAGGCCGGGCGCGGTGGCTCACGCCTGTAATCCCAGCACTTTGGGAGGCCGAGGCGGGCGGATCACGAGGTTCACGCGGATCACAAGATCGAGACCATCCTGGCCATCATGGTAAAACCCCGTCTCTACTAAAAATACAAAACTTAGCTGGGTGTGGTGGCGTGGGCCTGTAGTCCCAGCTACTCGGAAAGCTGAGCTGTAGTCCCAGCTACTCCTTGAACCCGGGAGGCGGAGGTTGCCTGAGCCGAGATCCCGCCACTGCACTTCAGCCTGGTGACAGAGGGAGACTCAGTCTAAAAAATAAAATAAAATAAAAATCAGTAATTCTCAATAGAGTGGGGCTGAGGCGAGTCAGAATCTGCCTACTTTTTACTCCATATAGGCAGTCCCCATTCCCTGGATAGTGATGTACAGGATGTCAGCAATGTCTTGCAGAGAGGCGTGCCTGAAAGCGAGCCTTGACAGCTCCGGAGGGCAGTGACAGCCGCAGCCGCGGCAATAATAGAATGCATGTAATCAAGAAAGCAGAAAAGCAAGCTTCCCTAATTGGGAATCGAACTTGGGCGCTGGCAGCTAAAGCACTGAATCCCAGCCACTAGACCACCAGCGAGAGACAGCCCAGTTACCCAGGCAGCGCCTTTTGGAAAAATATCTTAGGACTGACGCTTTAACCACCGCAAGCGTAGGTTATAAATTTTTAGGAGTGTCTGGAAACTATTCTTAAAATTTCAAATAATTAGCCGGCCAGACGCGGTGGCTCACGCCCGCAATCTCAGCACTTCGGGAGACCGAGGCAGGCGGATCACCTGAGGTCAGGAGTTCAAGACTAGCCTGGCTAACATGGTGAAACCCCGTTTCTACTAAAAATACAAAAAATTAGCCAGGCGTGGTGGCGCGCGCCTGTAATCCCAGCTACTCCGGAGGCTGAGGCAGGAGAATCGCTTGAACCCAGGAAGCTGAGGTTGCAGTGAGCTGAGATTGTCTCATTGCACTCCAGCTTGGGCAACAAGAGCTGAACTCTGTCCAAAAAAAAATAAAAAATTCTCCTGCCTCAGCCTCCCCAGTAGCTGGGATTACAGGCATGCACCACCACGCCTGGCTAATTTTGTATTTTTAGTAGAGACTGGGTTTCTCCATGTTGGTCAGGCTGATCTTGAACTGCCGACCTCAGGTGATCTGCCCGCCTCGGCCTCCCAAAGTGCTGGGATTACAGGTATGAGCCACCAAGCCTGGCCAGAAAAAAATTCTAATAATTTTATCTTTGAATATGTGATTTGTTAGTGGAGTCCAGTGAAATAATGGAGCCTGCACATGAGCAGATAAGATACCAGCAGTTTTCTTGTCCTCCATTCTCATCACCACTTTGTATAAAGCCTTTGCCATGCCTGTTGAACACAGAATTTCAGGCGGACCCACTCTGCAGTGAGACTTGACAGAGACTCAAAGTGAATACAAGGAAAGTGCGTTGCCTCTATGACTGAATAAGCTGCTTGAAAGCCCCAAAGGCCACACTTTCCATTCAAACCAGAACTTACTTCAAAAGTAAAAAGCAGGCAGTAGCGTTCTAAGAAACACAAATGGCCAAACAATTCTATCATATCCTTTCTTGTGTTACCTCCCTCTATTAACCAACTGCTTATGCTGAAAATGATGACATAGAAGGAAAGAGAAAGACAAAAGAACTTACAGTTCCCTCCCTTTCCTTTCAGTCCTTCTTTACTCATCAGCAACCTAAATGTAGAAAGTATGGGTAGAATGTGTGCATCAAGAAGTGAAATAAAAACAGGCCAGGAGCGGTGGCTCACACCTGTAATCCCAACACTTTGGGAGGCAGAGGCGGGTGGATCACGAGGTCAGGAGATCAACACCATCTGGTGAACACGGTGAAACCCCATCTCTACTAAAAATACAAAAAATTAGCCAGGCATGATGGTGGGCGCCTGTAGTCCCAGCTACTCGGGAGGCTGAGGCAGGAGAATGGTGTGAACCCAGGAGGCGGAGCTTGCAGTGAGCCAAGATAGCACCACTGCACTCCAGCCTGGGCGACAGAGGGAGACACTGCTTCAAAAAAAAAAAAAAAAAAAAAACACACAGTTGAGTTAGTTCTGTCCTGTGTTTCCAGTGTTCTGGTAAGGACAAAAATATACATGCAGGTAGGAGCTATGAAATATAGATTGTGTCGTTTTGGTGTTTCTACATATGAATTAAATGCTTTTATATTTACATTGCCAAATAAAAACCAACTTGGACTTAGATAAAGAGACTCTTCAAAAAGCTTATTGCAAAAGGTAGAATTTTCTGGTCTCAGAAACCTGAAAGGGTCTCAAAATCAAACAAACAAACAAAAAAGGCATTTCTTTCACAGGGAAGGATAAGCAGAGCTTAGCAGAAACAAAATTTTAAGCTGGGAAAGTAAGCGGGAGTGAACAGACACCATGACCAGAAGTTTTCCAGGCAATGTGTCTCTATGTGGTCAACGGAGTCTCAGGATAAGTTGATTAGGGGTGCACAACTCTGCACTTTAGCACTTACCCAGGCTTAGGGACAAGCCAAAGTTCAAGGGCCTGTGGGGAGAGAAGCCTGACTAAAGCTAGGTCAAGAAAAAGCAGAGGAAAAGAAATGGGCAATAGTGAACACTTGGTCAGCATTTAAAACTGGAATTGCACAATATAAAGATAATGGGTAAAAATCATGCTAATTGATTTAGCAGTTTGGGAGGCTGAGGCAGGTGGATCACCTGAAGTCAGGAGTTTGAGACCAGCCTGACCAACATGGTGAAACCCAATCTCTACTAAATACAAAACATTAACTGGGCATGGGGGTGCATACCTGGAGTCCCAGCTACTTGGGAGGCTGAGGCAGGAGAATCACTTAAACCCGGGAGGTGGAGGTTGCAATGAGCCGAGATCATTCCACTACACTCCAGCATGGGCAACAAGAGCAAAACCCTGTTTCAGGGAAAAAAAAAAAAAAAAAAATCATGCTAATTATTTAAAGTCTTATTTTTCTTTACATAGAATGACGAGAGCAAATAAAAAGCCCCATGATAGGAAGGACTATGGAAGAAAGGAAAAAGCTTTATAGTTCACTACCCTTCACAGCACTTTTCTTGCTGCTTTTTTCAGAAGGGGTTGCATTTTCACTTTGCACTAGACCCCACAATTTATGTAGCTGGTACCAGAAGGTAAGATGAGTTTCCCGGGGTACATTTTTGGTATAGTGGTTAAGGCTTTTTTCTCAAACTTCCCTGTGGGAGTTTAAGTCTTGGTTTTGTCCTTCATTTTTCTTCCTTCCCACTATTAAGCTCCTGTTGCTGTAGCCATCAAGGTTTTCTATTGTTCTGGGGCTCAAGCAGACAAGGAATCCAAGAACACCCAGGCTATACCTTTCACCCAGGAGTCCAGCTGGGCCCTACGCCCAAATGATTGCTTTTTCTCTTTGCCCATTCCATCAAGGGTGACAGCTTCTTCCTAGTCGGTTCTTTGTCGTGGTCTCACTCCCCGCCTTCCTCAATCCAGAATCTGAGCAGGAAATGAATCTGGCCAAAGCAGGTGGTTGGATTTTCCTGACCCAGTGCTTCAAAAAGACCAAACCTCACCTCTGCTCCACCTGCCCCCACTCTTGGATCCAGCAGCCTCACATTTCCCAGGCCTCTGCCCTGACATCTGCCTTGCTAGAGGGATGAGGAGCAGCTGCACCTGGAATTCCAACCACCTGCCGCAGTCTTGCATGGCACAGGTGAGTTTTGTTGGAGATGGGGTTGGGTGGAGAGTAGACAGTGTTTCTGGCATTTTCACGAATGGCCATTCTGATGCTGGCCTCCTGCTCTATCCTGGAGCAGGGGGCCAGACTAGGTGGTGGCCTAGGAGCAAATGGGGCATGAGCAATCAGTGCTTCCTACCCATCTGGGCCCAGTGAAAAAAGTAGACAGTTAGAGGAGCTGTCCACTTTAGATGAACAGCTTCATCTCCTTCCTCATTAGCATAGTCGGTGAGCATTCCCTTCTGTCCTGAGAGATCTGGATTTGATTCCCCTGCCATTTAACGAATTTGTTGCCACTTCACTTTTGTTTATTCATTTTATTTCCTGGCTTACAAATACAATTAGCCAATTCTATATAGATATACGGTTTTCATTTTACAAAAAATCCAAATGGAAAGGGCGGGCGCAATGGCTCACACCTGTAATCCCAGCACTTTGAGAGGCCGAGACGGGTGGATCACGAGGTCAGGAGATCGAGACTGCCCTGGCTAACACGGTGAAACCCCGTCTCTACTAAAAATACAAAAAATTAGCCGGGTGTGGTGGCGGGTGCCTGTAGTCCCAGCTACTCGGGAGGCTGAGGCAGGAGAATGGCGGAAACCCAGGAGGCGGAGCTTGCAGTGAGCCGAGATCGCGCCACTGCACTCCAGCTTGGGTGACAGAGCGAGACCCCGTCCCCCCAAAAAAACAAAAATCTAAATGGATTATGTGTGGCATTCTTGACCTCACAGGCTCAGTAAAGGGTATTGGGTGGCTCTGGACTTCCCTAATGAGCCACTTTAAACACCTGGTGACAGCTGCCAGTGCAAAGGTCAAGGCCTCTAATACTGGACTGCCTAGAACTCCGTGGTTTTAACTACTTTCAGGATTTCAAAGTGGGGGAAAGTTTTATTAATTACCAATACTATGACTGTGCTAATCTACCCATTCTAGATTTAGAATATACCTGAGAGACTGCATGTTTCAGTGTCAAAATTCAACATACTTAGGAGGCCAAGGCAGGAGGATCGCTTGAGCCCAGGAGTTTGAGAGCAGCCTGGGCAGCACAGCATAACATCTCTCCAAAAAAAAAGAAAAGAAGAAGAAGAAGAAGAAATAATAGAGAGAAAATTAAACAAAGTATAAATTAAGGATTCTCAACATGGGTGGGCCTAGTTCCCTTAAGGAGCATTTCAGAATTCCTCAAAGGACATCAGCCTTCACAGCCTTTCTACTCAGGTGCTGATGAGATTAGCAATCAGATGTTTGGCCTCCCCATTTGCTTCCCTTGAGAATTGTGGCTAGTGATATTAGGAGCTCACTACCATTCTTAATTTACCCCTTTGAGTAAACGATCAGCATTTTTCTTTTAAACATATATTTCAGGCTGGGCGCAGTGGCTCATGCCTATAACAGCATTTTGGGAGGCTGAGGCGGGCAGATCACTTGAGGTCAGGAGTTCCAGACCAGCCTGGCCAACACGGTGAAACCCCACCTCCACTAAAAATACAAAAATTAGCCAGGCGTGGTGGTGCACGCCTGTAATCCCAGCTACTTGGGAGGCTGAGGCAGGAAAATCACTTGAACCAGGGAGGCAGAGGTTGCAGTTAGCTGAGATCGTGCCACTGCACTCCAGCCTGGATGATAGAACAAGACTCTGTCTCAAAAAAAAAAAAAATATTTCAGAAAGAAGTAATGATACTGGACTACAGAAGCATTAGTGAGATGCTGTGGTCATCAGGCCGAGGGTCTCCTGGATGGGAATCTGTGGGGAGGAATTCCCCCATGCCTACAGTCCCCTCACTCTTTAGCCAGCATAGGGTTAGGTTTGGTTCTTGACCAAGGTCTCAGGCTCAACTCTGGGGGAAGGAGATGGCTGTCTTCGGCTGGATCCGGTATTTGGGAGGGATGAAGTGAGACACCTACTGCAGGGAGGCAGTGGCGATGATTTCCAGTTCAGGCTTTTGGAATACCTGGCCTGCTTCTAGACTAGGATCATAGCACTGGTCCCTGGCTGAGGTAAGTTCAAGTGCTGGACCTACTTCAGGTGCCGGACCTAGCTGGAGCTAGGGCATGGCAGGACAGGGCAAACCAAAGAACAGGCCTACCTCTCTGTGGTGAATACCTCAACAAGACTTACCCGGTAATATCTGCCACTGGGTTTAATTGAATGCTTGCTGTTGCAGGTCCTGTCTCTGGAGGTTTTTTTTTTTGAGATGGAGTTTTGCTCTTGTTGCCCAGGCTGGAGTGCAATGGTGTGATGTCGGCTCACTACAACCTCCTCCTCCCTGGTTCAAGCGATTCTCCTGCCTCAGTCTCCCTAGTTGCTGGAATTACAGGCAGATGCCACGACGCCCAGCTAATTTTTGTATGTTTAGTAGAGCCAGGGTTTCATCGTGTTGGTCAGGCTGTTTTTGAGCTCTTGACTCAGGTGATCCACCTGCCTCTGCCTCCCAAAGTGCTAGGATTACAGGCATGAGCCACCGCACCCAGCCTCTGGATGACCTTTTAAATTTTCTTTTCCTGGCCAGGCACGGTGGCTTACCCCCATAATCCTAGCACTTTGGGAGGCCGAGATGGGCGGATTACATGAGGTCAAGAGTTCAAAACCCACTTGGCCAACATGGGGAAACCTCGTCTCTATTAAAAATACCAAAAAAGGCCAGGCACAGTGGCTCACGCCTATAATCCCAGCACTTTGGGAGGCCGAGACGGGCAGATCACGAGGTCAGGAGATCGAGACCATCCTGGCTAACACCGTGAAACCCCATCTCTATAAAAATACAAAAAATTAGCCAGGCATGGTGGCAGGTGCCTGTAGTCCCAGCTACTCGGGAGGCTGAGGCAGGAGAATGACGTGAACCCGGGAGGTGGAGCTTGCAGGGAGCCGAGATAGCGCCATTGCACTCCAGCCTGGGCAACAAGTGAGACTCCATCTCAAAAAAAAAAAAAAAATTAGCCGGGCGTGTGCCTGTAATTCCAGCTACCTAGGAGGGTGAGGCAGGAGAATCGCTTGAACCAGGGAGGTGGAGGCTGCAGTGAGCTGAGATCACGCCACTGCACTCCAGCCTGGGCGACAGAGCCAGACTCCTTCTCAGAAAAAAAAAAAAAATTTCAACCAAGTGCAGTGGCTCATTCCTGTAATCCCAGCACTTTGAGAGGCCAAAGGGTCAATTGAGCCCAGAAGTTCACGATAAACCTGGGCAACATAGCAAGACCCCATCTTTACCAAAAAAAAAAAAATACATAAATAAAGAAAACAGAAAAAAGTATTTTCACTGTTTTTTGTTTGTTTTAAGGGAGGAAACCACCCCTCATATTGTCTTATGCCCAATTTCTGCCTCCAAAGAAAGAAGAAGTAAAAACTAAAAGGCAGAAATGAAATCCACAGGCAGACAGCCCGGTGCCACACCCTGGGCCTGGTAGTTAAAGATCGACCCCTGACCTAATCCGTTCTGTTATCTATAGATTAGAGACATTGTACAGAAATGCACTGTGAAAATCCCTATCTTGTTTTGTTCCGATCTAATTAGCACCCCCAGTCACCTACCCTCTGCTTGCTCAATCAATCACGACCCTCTCACATGCACCCCCTTAGAGTTGTGAGCCCTTAAAAGGGACAGAAATTGCTTACTCGGGGAGCTCGGCTCTTGAGACAGAAGTCTTGCCAATGCCCCTGGCCTAATAAACCCCTTCCTTCTTTAACTAGGTGTCTGAGGAGTTTGTCTGCTGCTCCTCCTGCTACAGTCTGTTTGTTTTGTTCTGTTTTGAGACAGAGTTTCATTCTTGTTATCCAGGCTGGAGCGCAATAGCACAATCTCAGCTCGCTGCAACCTCTGCCTCCCTGGTTCAAGGCCTCCCAAGTAGCTGGGATTACAGGAATGTGCCACCATGGCAAACTAATTTTGTATTTTTAGTAGAGGCAGCATTTTACCATGTTGGTTAGGCTGGTCTCGAACTCCTGACCTCAAGTGATCCACCTGCCTCAGCCTTCCAAAGTGCTGGGATTACAGGCATGAGCCACCGCGCCTGGCCTTCACTGGTTTTATAATTCTATGTCTAGTGGCTTCCATGGTTTCTGTTTGAAAATCAGACATCTTTCTCATGTTGCCCATTTTCTCTATCTACTCTTTTT